CGCATTGAAAAATCATCGACGGATTCGCCGTCCTTAAAGCGGATCTCCGAGAGCTCCTTCCGCAGTTGCTCGATGTTGGATTCACGCACTCGCTGTACACCGACCCGACGGGATTTGATTCCCTCCCAGGCCGATTGTGCAGTGCGCCTGGGCCCTGTGGCCTAAGTGAGCTACCCTGTGGCACATACGTGTGTCACAGTGTGGGCGAGCGTGCTGAGACGAGTGTCTCGGGGCGACTTCCTTTGAAATGGGTTTTTGAAGGACAGTACCGGACGGCACGGGTGTGCCGGTATTGCGCCCTAGCCCGCGTGTTGGAGGTTGCTACATACACCCGCTATCCGGTACGGTATCCGTAAATGACTCGGCATGGGCACGGGAGGGCCTATGCCTCGATAGAACCCGGATGGATGGATGTTCGGGAAGTCCCGATGAGATGAACGACACGCGGGCCCATTCTCGATGGCATGACCGAACGAGTTATGATGAGCGACGACATCCCGAGACTCGGGATGGCGTCAAGACATATGGACCCTGTCGATGGGGATCGAGATGGCAAGACGAGATGCGACGTTGTATTGAGAGACCTTGGCCCGAGCAGAGGCAAGGTCGAGCCGAATGAGTTGGCCTAGCGTAGAGGCAAGTCGGATGTGTCGCAGATGATTGAACATACACGCACAGGCGGCGTGTGTGGTTGAACAAGCTTGGATTCCGCACAAGCGATGTTCGAGTGGCGAAGACAAACCTCGCCTAAGGTCCGACGAAGCCACAAAGCCGGGGCGAAAAATATAATGGGGCTTAATTCCCCTTAAGGCTGGTCGTGAGCGTGTATAGATCACGACGCCGCACGGTCAAAGATATAGGACCGTGACAAAACCTCCATGAAAAGGCAACGTTAACCCTAACCCTTTCAAAGCTTCGGTGAGTTCAACCCCAAAAGAAATTTTGAATTTTGGGATCATGAATTTCTCGACTTCACGTTTTTCGTACGGAATGTGTCGGTCAATGAATCCAGGTTCAGGATCCAATTTCTCAATCAAGGTTGGTGTTTTTGCCTTCGGTTTGGAGAAGCCGCTTGGTTATGGTCATGGCTACGTCGGATTGTGATGTCGTTACTTTTTCTCCGTATAAAGCTTCCATCATTAGAACATGAAACCTCTGATCCATCTTGGTTTTGGGCAAAGCGTACATGTTGGTGTAATAACGCACGTGTCGATGAGCGACGGAAGGGAGACTGGAAAAAGATTTGAATTTGAGAGTTAGAGTTTTGGTTGTGACGGTGATAATTTATACTCCTTCGGATACTTGGGTAACAAGAAAGCTTGGTCATAAACAGAAACTAAATCTTTTCTTCGGAAGGAAAAAAAATAATATTTATTAATATATCATTTCAATCTTAAAAATAATATTGGGATTTCGGATGGTCTAAGAATAAAGTATAAACTCTTTTTCATTTACTTTCGCGGACAAGAAAATTACAAATATTTTAATATTAATATTAAATTTTTGTCATCATTGGGCTTCAAAAAGGTTTGTTAGGAGATATATTTCTTACTCATACATTCATGATCATTCCTAAGTTAGTCGATCTGAGAATCTCTTCTAACAATTATCAACAAAATATAGTTTTTATGAGTTCATTCTAACAATCTTACCGTTTACTAAAACAATCGAGAAGAGATTACAATATACTTAAGATGATATAATTTATTCTTAAAATTTCTCAATCTTTTCTTCTAAAATATTAAATTTTTTTCTTAAACTATTTTGATATTTTTATTCCTAAAATACTTACATTATTTTCCTTAAAAACGGGTTCATACAGTTATTGAGTTTAATCTAGTGATGACATTTTAACCGAAGCAGCATGATTGAAAATGTACAATTGCAAAACTCCTGCAGCTTCAAAATAGTCTCAAAGAAAAGTTGATATTATGCTAGTAATGATATTCTAATAGATGTCGCAGGGAAGAAAATGTACGACTGCAAGACGGTATACCTCTCGTAGCTTGAAAGTAGAGAAAGGTTGGTATTTTAAAAGAGCGCCCAAAACAAGGAATACTTATAGTAAAACACGTTATAGATAATACTTATATTATTCATAGGATATGCTAAAACATTCCTTTAGCAACGTTTAGTAAGTGTTGCTAGATTTCATTGCAGCTATTTAGGTGGTTTATTCTTTAGCTCCAGTCCATTGGTATTACTCAATGGACAAGAGGGTTTAACACCTGTCCAATGAAAAGCAAAGTCCCTGATTTGTCTTCCCTGATCAAATACAAGAACGGGTGGTCGGCAATGAAGTTGATTTGATCTAAAGCCAAGGAATGTCCCATTACAATAGCTGTAGAAGCTGCAGCTTCTGTGCCTTCTTCATTAACCTCAATAAACGCCTTGTGGAATATTTTAGAAACACGAAGCCTTTGAGCCATTGGGGACTCCACCATTCCTAACAACCCTCCTTCAGCAAATGGTAACTCCAATCCTAACTTCTTTAAAACATCGGAAACTTCAATCCCAAAGGAAATTTTAAACTTTGGAATCATAAATCCCCCCAGCTTTTGTTTTTTACATGGAATGTGGCGGTCGATGAACCCAGGCTCAGAATCTAACTTTTCAATCAAACTTCCAAGTCCATCCTTCCTATCTGGGAGAAACAAGTACATAGAAAAACGACGTGGGTCACAACCTTGACTGTACGGCAATGCAAGAACCTTAAACCCATCGAACACAGCTACATATTCCTCCGTCTTGCCGGTCATAAAGGGCGCTTTAACTGAGCTCCCATCAATAAGGTAGAAATTACGCTTCATTGTTATCGAAGCATCAAATGCCTGCTGCCATGCCGCTTTGAAGTAGAGTGCATTCGCAAGGATGAGCTGAGTGGAACTACCCACTGATCCAGGGGGAAGAATCTCTTTGATAAGTCCATTCGTGTTTTTTTCAACCCATGAGTTCACTTCGGAAATCACTTCATTAGCCTTTCAATACAACCATAAAATAGTAAATTTAGTAAATTTGTTATATATAATTTGAAAAAGCTCAGATTTTTTTTTAAGAAATGATGTAGAAGTTTACCGGTTTCTCTTACAAAAATTATAAATACCTAATTCTTTTCCCACCTAATTCTTTTCACAGTTAGAGCACAGAACAAAAAACAGAGAGAAAAGAAATACAAAACAATAGAAAAGGTTTTCCATAAAATCAGTGTTCTTTGTCTTCGTGTTTTTCCTCTCTCAACATCTCCTTTACAAGTACACGAGTAACATTTTCACTAAGCTGTATCGAACCATTTTATCGTTAGTGTGTGTGAAATTTACTTCACTCATATTAGTGAGTTTTATTTTACCCAAATCAGACAGCCTAGAAAGAAGAGTGAATCAATCACCTGTTGGAAATCGACTTGGCGGAGCATGGCCTTGTAATATTTGTCCACGACCTGTTGGAAAGAAGGCTTGAGAGAAAGTGACTGATCGATCCAAACGCCGTTGACAAATGCGAGGCGAGGTTCGCCGCGGGAAGAGGCATTGGCGAAGACCTTGTCTATGATATGAGAAGCGAAGGCGTTGAGATTGTCGATGGAGTTTGATTTGAGGAAGGACAGAAATTGATCCAGCGTAGGGCCCTTGGAACCAGCAGCGACAAGGGTGAGAAGCACGTAGATCGACAAGGGCGAGATGACAACGTTGGAAGCCTTGGCTTCGTCGTGTTGGAGAATGCGCTTGGTGATGGCCATGGCGACGTCGCCATGGTTTCTAATTGCTTCTCTGATGTCCATTTCCGGCAGCAGGAGGGTTGGTTCGAGATCGAAGAATCAAGTTGTTCAGTAGTTGAGATGGGGTGGAAAAATCAGTGCATGAGGTTGGGGGTTAAATAATGAAGGAAGGGGCCCACCTTAGCACCTTGGTCGCCAACTGGCTTTTGACCGGCATCTCACGTGCGTAGCGCATGGAGAATATTTGACCATAAATTCACTTCGAGTGTGATTCTATTTTCGCATTAAAAAAATGAGTTCAGGTGATTTTAATAAATTTTAAATTATTTTTTTTATCAAAAATTTATTATATAGTTTTAATAATTTTCATGCACCACGTGACTAATTCTTTCATCTATTCTAGTTCCGATTTTTAATGATTTATTCTGCAAAATATTTTAACGTTAAAATCAATAGATTGATATAAGATTTGTTACAAAACGTGGATTAATTTAGGAGAAGTTTTAAAAATTCTAAAACTCGCCCAATCCTAGCAAGCCTTTTTTCTTTTTGTTTCTTCCTTCCAATCAATGTCACCAAACTTTTTTTCCAAACTTCTCCGAATCAAATTCTTAAGGTATCAAGTCAAAATGTTCCATATATGAAAAAGATAATTTATTCGAAGAAGAAATTAGAATAATTTAAAAATGGAATATTTTGAAATTGTTGGAGAAGATAATTTATTCGAGTAACACTTTTATTTAGTTAATTGGCCTAGATTGTATTATAATAATTATTTATTATAATGGGGTTTGTGAGAGAGGGAGGCTGGAAAAAGATTTGAATTTGGGAGCTAGGGTTTTGGTTCTGACGGTGATAATTTATACTCCTTTCGATACTTGGGTAACAAGGAAGCTTGGTCATAAATAGAAAGTAAATCTTTTCTTTGGAAGCAAAAAAAATAATATTTATTAATATATCATTTCAATCTTAAAATACAAAATCAAATTTAACCCTTTTTATTGGGATTTCGGATGGTGTAAGAATAAAGTACGCCCTTTTCTTGTCAAGAGAATTACAAATATTTTAATATTTATATTATTTTTTTGTCCTGATTCGACTTCCCAAAAAGGATAAGGAGATATATTTCTTACTTATAAATTCAGAATCATTCCTAAATTAGTTAACGTGAAAATCTCTCCCAATAATCATCAACAAAATATAATCTTTATGAGTTCATTCTAACCATCACCATTGTACTCTCCCTTAAGACCAATTTGAGTTCATTCTAACAATCACAATAGTACTTTCTGTTAAGACCAATAAAAAAAAAAAATTACAATAAGGTCAATGCTGCGATTTTTTTTATTTTTTGAGATGATATAATTTATTCTTAAAATTTCTCAATTTTTTTCTTAAAATATTAAATTTTTTTTAAAACTATTATGATATCTTTATTCCTAAAATAGGTAAACCATTTTTCTTAAAAATGAGTTCATACAGTTATTGGGTTTAACCTAGTGATACAGAAACTCCATGGTTGAAAATGTACAATTGCAACACAGTCTAACTCTCTTATCTTCAGAGTAGTCTCAAAAAAAAGTTGAAAATGTACAATTGCAACACAGTTTAACTCTCTTAGCTTTAGAGTAGTCTCAAAGAAAAGTTGATATTAAGCTAATAATGATATTTTTAATAGACGTCGCATGGAAGAAAATGTACGACTGCCAGACGGTATAACTCTAGTAGCTTGAAAGTAGTCACGGAGAAAGGTTGGTATTTTAAGAGAGCGCCCAAAACAAGGAATATTTATACTAAAACACGTTATAGATAATACTTATATTATTTATAGGATGTGCTAAAACATTCCTTTAGCAAGGTTTAGTAAGTGTTGCTAGATTTTATTGCAGCTATTTAGGTGGTTTATTCTTTAGCTCCAGTCCATTGGTATCACTCAATGGACAAGAGGGTTTAACACCTGCCCAATGAAAAGCAAAGTCCCTGATTTGTCTTCCCTGATCAAATACAAGAACGGGTGGTCGGCAACGAAGTTGATTTGATCTAAAGCCAAGCTCTTATTTGATATTTCAATAGCTGTAGAAGCTGCAGCTTCTGTGCCTTCTTCATTAACCTCAATAAACGCCTTGTGAAATACTTTAGAAACATGAAGGTTTTGAGCCATCGGGGACTCCACCATTCCTAACAACCCTCCTTCAGTAAATGGTAACACCAATCCTAACTTCTTTAAAACATCGGAAACTTCAATCCCAAAGGAAATTTTAAACTTTGGAATCATAAATCTCCCCAGCTTTTGTTTTTGACATGGAATGTGGCGGTCGATGAACCCAGGCTCAGAATCTAACTTTTCAATCAAACATCCCAATCCATCCTTCCTATCTGGGAGAAAGAAGTACATAGAAAAACGACGTGGGTCACAACCTTGACTGTACGGCAATGAAAGAACCTTAAACCCATCGAACACAGCTACATATTGGTC